AGTTAAGTGTATTTGGAGGAGACGGGGAGGAACAGGAGAAACGAGTAGGTTTTGGTTATTAGGCTGCACATGGCTGTGGCAGCATTTCATCCTGGAAGGTTCAGCTTAAGTGTTTATAACTAGATGAAAAGAGTGCTTGGGAGAAGGGAGTTTCTCGGAGAGCTCACATGTGAGGACTGAGTCATCTGCAGCATTATTTATATTAGAACACTGTAGGGCAGGTTACTGGGTTGTTTTGAAGGCAGATGGGTTTAGAACTAAAACATAAAGATCTCCATTCAGTACAAAACCTGGTGCAGTTTTGGTTGGAGAACTGCACAAGCTCTCCTAAAGTGGCATTTACGTAACATAATCTTGACACAAGAATAAGATGGTTTCTGGCTGCACACCAGCAACAGTATGTATACTCTTGACAAGCAAAAAATTCTACGTGGCAGGTAATGCACATGTTAATGGAAAAGTGTGCTTCCAACTGATCGTATTCAGGGAAAGCACTAGTACAGGATAGCAGTAACACTAGTGTACACGGTAGCACTTATAAAAGTAAAAAAAAATAAGTCCCCACCAACACCACAGAGAATTAATTTTGAAAGAAAAAAAAAGTAATTCACAATGGAAGACTATACACCTCTGCTAAGTGGAAGTCTTTTCCTTCAGGCAACAAGAGCTTACCCTCATCAGAGCCTACAGAATGAGTTTTAAAGACCTTGTGAAAGTCCACTCTGGTTATTCTCTGGTGCAGAGTTCCTTTCCAGTTTTCAGACATAGGTTGCCAGGGCCTCTGTTGTTCATAGTTGAGTAGAATTAAGGAAGATTCTTACCTGTATTACTGTTGTAATATTTAGAATTTTGTTAAACTGCAAGTAAGTTTCTCAGCTATGTGTGACAGTCATGTTTCTGTTAAAAAAAAAAAAAAAAAGTCATAAGCAGTCCCACTGAGGGCTGGGATATAAGCAGGAATAGGATATGGTCCTTTTTATCAGGTGAATGGAGGGAGCAGTTAGAAGTAAAGCTAGAGGAGTAAGAAATAAGTTTCTTAAGCAACTAGTGTCATAAGAAACACCTCAATATAGTGCTCTCCACTTACTAAAGGTTTGTTTGGGTTTTATTGGTTTGGTTTGTATTTTTAAATATTAACCTTTGCTTATTAGGTGATATTTATTAACCAGTAGGTGTCTGATACATTTCATTTATATGGAAACAAGGTTAACAGCATTTGGAACAAAGGAGCTCATGGGTTACTACTGTTGAATAATAGATAAAAAAACAGTGGAAACCAAGCTTCATGAATTCTGCTGACAGAGTGGCTTGTTATTGTATACTTTTTACCATCACTATGAGCATTAAATAGCTCAGGTTTATAATGACTGCAATGCTGTATTGCAAGCTTATGTTTTGTTTGAGCTTTGACACATCCTACAAGTCAGGAAAGGCTTGACTGGAAGCAGGAACTACATTTGCAGAGCAATTAAGACTTACCTTAAGATTACCAGCACACAGAACATGTAGGCAGCAATTCTTACAGACACTTTAGCATTCCCTAAAAAGGCTTCTTGAAGGTTTTTGAAATGGAGCTCAATTCTGACAGCTCCTAAAGTACTGACTCGTGATAATTTAATTTTTATTTTTTTTTTGGAGGGCGTGGGGATTCAGGGAGTGGGGCCAAGTGTATGTTTGATCAGAGGTATAGAAGTGTGTATTACCATTTATCTTAGGGGAAACAGTATTACCTGTGTTATCTGACATTCCTTCTCTCCTTGACAAGTACTTATTCCCTAGGTACTTGCTAGGATAGAAACAATTATTCCACAGTATTCCAGAAGATGCCAGATGTCCTTCAGAGTGTACAAACCTGTTTTGCAGGCTGTGTCGCACATAGGAATTGTGTAAACTCAATCACTAAATTTTTAACAGAGCTCGTAGTTTGTTTTTCCACTTACGAACAGCTGGTACTCAACACAAAACCTAAGTGGAATAACGATAATTTTACTGGCAAAATATCTACTGGAACGTAAATGGCTAGATTCTCTTTAAGTTTTAAAGCAATATAAAAGATTTTCGTGTTTAAATCTCTTCTGCATCAAAAGGTTTAGAATAGTAGCTCTTCATTTAATAAATACTAAAAAGCTTTTCTTATTGAAGAAAATCAAAACACATACAAATCCACCATCACATCATGACTGACTTAAATTATCAAAGCACTGCTTAGAAAAGAAGAGGCTCAGGGTTAACCCACCTCAGGGTTAATGTGTGGTGACGAAGGTGCAAATACACTGTCTCCTCCACAGTCACACTTCTACCGTCCTTGCACTGCCTTCTAGCTCTTGTTGGGCCCTTTGCTGAGTCAGTCTGTCTCATTAAATTTAGCTACAGAACAATCTACTTTCTTTTTCCTCCTGGGTTACTGAGATGAATCGGCCCTTATGAGGTGTTTGACAAATGCCAGAGCTGGTATAAAGTTAGAATGAGGAACAGGACTTCTGTTTTTGTGAGAGCAAGCTATTGATGTATTAAGCTAACTCAAGGTAGCCTCACCACTCGTTGGCAGCCCGTGACAAGTCAGTCCTGTAGCAGTGAAATCGATGTCCTCATTTATATGGTAATAGGAATAGTATTCTGTACTTCGGTAGTAACTTTCATCCAAGGTTCTCACAAGCACTTTGCACCCTAACAGATATACCTATGGAAGACCAATGTTTTAGTTATGTGAACTCAAGCAGAAAAGAAAGATAGATTTCACCAGAAGGCTTCAAACAGGTTAACAGCTTCAAGCAGTTAACAGCTCACCACCAACAGGTAAGCTTATTAAAGTCCATATAACAGCAGCAGTCTAAGAGGGAAGGAGAGTGGTTTTAAGGTGCTGGGTAATGAGTGAATTGACCCAGTTTATCTTGAGATCAGATAAGTTCCTGAGCTGCTGCAAAATGTGAAGGAAAGCATTTGGCTGAGATTGGGAGGAGGAGGAAAGGAATAAGACTTCCCTTTCTGGTGTGGCAGCAAGCTGAAATTCAACTGACGCACTGTGAGCCATGCCCTGAAATTTAAAGGTATTCAAACATGTACATTAGTTATGCACTTAAATGAGTAGCCTGATATTTAAAATTGCTTTGAAGTCAGAATGAGCCTTTAAAAACAAAGCCAAAAGAACAAGTTATTTACCTAGGAGGAAAAGAAGACAAGAATTACAAGGTAAATTATTAAAAGAAAAATACAGGAAACTATGCTCAGCTATGAAAGTGCCATTCGAGAAGCACAGCTCTTTGTCTGAGGCTTATGTGAAGGAACAATCTCAAAAGACATTCTAGAAATTAAGTGTAGGATTACTTAGAAGAAGCAGGTGGAGTTAAATGCATCCAGAAGTTTTTGTGGAAAACATGAATTAAGGCTGTAGCTAGGTGATATACCTCTCTTGAAGGAAGGCTGTGTAAGTGTTTAGAATTTCTAAATACCTTTCATAATGTTAATGAGGCCTGCCTGACACAGAACTGGAACTGCTGAACTAGTTTAAGTTTGATTGGGTGCCAGGAGATTATAAATTAATATTCTTCATCTCTGGCAAATTCTCTTTCCAGGTAATCTGTGGAGATGTAGCTGAGAACTAAAGAACAAAAACCACACTATGTTTCAGCATGATGGCTTTTTCAAGAGCCAAGTCTATCCTAAGCTTTGATGGTGTTCCTGGAAGTGTAAGCAAATTATAAAGAGGCTTTCATATTTGCACAAGACCGTGTATAATCCAAACTAAGATATCCTGACCACGAAACATCTTTTCACAGATTGTTCTAGCCGTGCTGTTTAACAAATGCTGTTTCTGACCCATTACTCTCCCTCTGCTGGACACTCACACAATTGCTATGTTTGTGTTGTTTCACATGAACATATTTCAAGGTATTTGATTGGAAGAGATTCAAATAAACGTTGTCTTTGGTTTTTGAAATGCAGCACCACAGCAGAAGCTCTCTTCCAGAGTCTAGTTGTAGAATTATTCCAAGCTTGCAAAGGCATATCCTCAAAGGAGTTTAGCAACTTAACTCCTATACAATTCATTATGGGTTGGTGATGAGTACTTCTGAGCTGTATTCTTCTTTTTGAGGTCTCCAATCTAGAATTAAAGCCTTTCTTTTGGAGCTGTTAAAGCACATACTGCAAGCTTCAAAAAGGGCATAAAATGAATTGGTTTTACTTTAGAGAGAAAAAGAAACATAGATCCATACACCAAAATACCAGTTTGTAATTCTCCATGTCTATCTCCTTACCTCTTAAATACTTTATAGGCTCAGCTCATTGTTTTGCAAGGTAATCATGTGTCAGATAGTCTCACTTTTGTATGTACGTATGTATACACAACCTACCTTTCTTTTGCTTGTATATCTCTAGGAATAAAGACTGAAAGGTCATCTTTTTTACAGGTGCCACCCCTTTTTTTCAGGTTATTTTAATTAGAGGCTCAGAGTTCTCAGCTGTGTAATCTATTGCTTAGTAAACCTGTTGTTCAGATTTGAAAAATCTCTAAATTGGGTGCTAACTAGTTCTTTGTTCAAGGTGCCTCTCTTTAAAGCACAGTCGTTGCCATTTACTCCTTACTCTGGGGTTTTGACACTATGAGCCTCCAGACTGATAAATAGTCAGAGGAGGGTGGTTTAGGTAAGTAGTTTTGCTATCAGAATTGTTTGTTGTGTGGGGTTTTTTTGCTATCAAAGCTCAAAATAAACAAAGATGGGGGTTTTGCTGTGCACATTGTGAAGAATCTAGCATAGTTTATAAACCTAATGATAGTTGAAAATGTTGTGAGTAGCAAAAGGATTGCTTAATGTGGAAGGAATGTGCTGAGCAAAGAACATGCATCCAAGGAAGAGAAGAGTGAGATCACTTTAATGGTGTATACAGTGCCTGAGTTAGGATTGGAAAGCTTAGAGACAGGGAATCTGTCTTGAAGAAAGGCAGAGACTGTGGTTTTAGAGATCTGAAAGCCAGATGTAGGATTGGTAAGAGAGGGAATCATGTCACTTAAGATACTGAAGCACCTGAGAATAAATCCTGTTAAGTATAATCCAGACCTCTGTTCAACTGTTCTTATGCTTTCATCTTGATTAGCAACATTTTGATTAGAAAATTCACCTTCTGCTTCGTTAGAGTAAATTTGTTTTCACCTATAAATCTGTTGGATATGGCGAGTAACCATTACAAGCCTGAGATACATAGATTCTCTGGAAGTGAGAAATTGAAACAGAGGATATTTTTTTCTCTCTGTGATCTGAGACAAATAATTCTCAGGGGCTGGGATGCTGAGCTGACTGAGCAACAATGATAACTTTTAAGTGCCAGATCCTAGGAGATGTTCTACTGGCTGTAAACTAGTATTGTTCTAGCAGGAGACAAGTAACAGACAGAATTTGCAGTTCTGGATGCCATCAAATTGTCAGTTTTGTAGCTTGATATAGAGGTAAAAAATGCAGAAAAGTTGGCTAGCATTTAAAGTGTGGAGTTACACATCTTGGTTGGCTGTCTCCAGGGAGGTGGGAATGTGGGGTTATCACGTGCTTTCTTTTCCCTTTCTTAATTCTCCACAATTCCAGTTGAGGGAACATTTAGAGATCCCTTAAGATTTTAGTTTTGTTAATGACTAAAGCAAAATGGCATTGTTGTTATGAAGAAAGAATAACAGTGTCATGGGATTTTAAAAGCTGTTCTTCTATAGCTGGTTAACATTGCTGCAGAAAATAATTACTTCATTATGAAATTGTGAAAATTAGTGAGCTTGTTTCTAGATAGGACTAATTACTCTGGAATTATTCTCTGCCAGTATTTTTATTCCAGAGAAGGCAATTTGCACATGGAATTATTGTGGAATAGGGATGGCAAAACCAATTACAGTTTCCCTCCTGTCTTAAGAGGGAGCATATATCGTCACTGTGATGCTGTACATCGGAATTTGAAATAAGGTAATTGTGTGTTACCGAAACTTGTCCACAAATACTGAATGGCTAGAGAATTTGGTTAAAATTATCAGAAGAAAAATTCTTGTTAGACTTCAGTGTATGCCAAGCACTTCACATCATTCATCAGTGTTTATGCACATTTATTTTTGTTGTAATTCCATTACTCCTCTTGGCATTATGCCATTGATTAGTTTTAGTTTGTTTTGTCCATCTGCAAAGTCACTAGAATAGTAGTATGTGGGAGTTTATTTTTACAACACAAAATGTGTTTACATTAAGAAATGAAGAAAAAAATGTTTACATTCTGTAAAAACTATTGCACCAACATAAAAATGTCACTGGCATTCTAACAGGTATTAGCTTAATCCAAACTTGTTTGCACAATTATTGTTTTATGCATTGTCCTTCGCAGTTACATAACTATGTTGGCACATGTACAACATCAGACAAGTTAAAAGGTATCTTCTTTCCCCAAAGTGTTTATAGTCTATCAAAACTGCTATTCTGTGCTATGTACTTGTTCTTTTCCATAACTTGGTTCCTAGCTAAGTAAACTTTGAACATAGTATGGGATACACAAGTTGTCTGAGATTTAGTTGACAATGTTTATACTATTGTTATTTGATTTACTGTTTTTAAGGAACATTTTTTGACAGCAACATCATTCTTTTCAAAGCAGTAGTCTAATTAAAATGTACTGAACCAAACAGGCAAAATCCACATTGTTCTTGATTTTGCACTGTGCCCAAATGACATTGAACAATATTGTGTCTAAAAAGAGCATTGTTTTGTGCAGCTTGTAAAAGTTAATGAACACATGGAATCCTTTAATAACCCCTTCCTTTTGTTTATGAGCAGTGTGTACCCCATTCCTAGGACAGCTTATCTCCTCCTAGCCATACAGTCAAAGTGTACACTTAACAAAATATGTATTTTTGAAAATAACCATTTTGGAAACTTTCAACACTTTATTTAGGAGGTAACTGTCTGTAAGCCTGCTGTTGCTTGAAGTGCAGTAGCTTTTGGGAAGAAAAAGTGGTGGGGTTTTTGTATATGCATTGATCTCACAGATTTTTAGGATTGTTGTGATGAGGTGATTTATAAGGGACTCTCTTTCTTGGATTTTTTTCTGTACATAGCTTTAGAGAATTGAAGAGGACTTACACTGTCAAGTCTTAGTACAGGCTTGGTCTATGTCAGTTGCCTTAGTAAGTGGAAAAAAAATTACATGTGCTACCCGTAAGAGCTGTGCCAGCACACAACGACCAATGTAGAAGCAAATATACAGCCAGAAGAATTCCTTTGTTGGCCTAGCTAATGTTTCTGAAAGGACTGTAATAGTCCTATCAGAAAGCTCTCTTTCTCTTTATAAGCGCTATGTAATTATGCAGAATTTCTGAAGTACAGTCAGGCAAAAAAGCTGGCACAAGCATGAACAGAGAAACCCCAAAGCAGTGTCAGAACAAAGCTTTGTTGTTTAAGTTATGTGTGGTAAGTAGACCTTGAGCTACTGTCCTATGAGAGATTAATTTCAATTTTTCTGTTTAATTATTGACATAATAGTATTACTTTCTTTGGTTTTCTATTCAGATTTTTAATTTTATTATTTCAGTGTTGAAACTCACAATAGCTTTTTTCAAATTAAATAGTGAAAGATAAAATTCTCCTTACCTTTTTCAGGTGATTTATTTCTGTCACATAAGTAATACCAATTTAGCACATCTTAAAAATGGGCACTTGGGCACTGACAAAGATTTCTGTAAGTCTCGGGCTTCTCCAGATGCTTAAGGAAACCAACAGTCAAATTTGGGTTCATGGCAGGAAATGCTCTGGCTGGATGCTCACTGTTTGGTACACCTATATTCTGCCAAAGCAGCACGTAACTCGAGGTCTTCTGCTCACGTGATAGAAGGTTGTAAATCTAGTGTGTGCGTGTACAGCTCCAAAATACCAACTCCTGGTCTGTGCTGTGCTGGTACCTACCTGTGCTCCCTGCACCGGGAAAAGTTACTTGATTTCTTGAAATCCTGCTCAGTAGTTTGATACGCCAGTAGAACTGACAGTATGCTAAAACTATTCTAAACAACAAATGGATGTTTTACTGCTTCCAAATGTAGATTTGAAGTTCAGGGAGGAGTTGTCAGTGTTCAATAATCACATTATGAGAGCAAAGACATATATTTCATACTGGTCTTTATAAATTGTCCCTGGGTGTCACTTTTGAGTTAGACTGAAACATTTTAGAAGCAAATCTGAGAATTGTTTTTCCTTTTCTTTGTTGACACCTTTGTTCTTAAATTTGTTTTCTATTACTTTCCATAACAATGTCAACTCCAGCAGGCCAGCTTATCTTCTCTGAATTATTCTTAGAGGATATCTTGGGGGTTTTTGAACTTAAGTTACACTAATGTAACTACAGAAATACCTCCCTGGCAACACTCTGTGGATTTGTCATCATTATATTTGATAAATCCTTTCTTATTTTGTACAACTCTACTAATTTCTGTCACTCTTTTGAAGCAAAATCAAATTACAAGGAGAAAGCATTTATTATTATCAACATGTAACTCCATGTGGAAAGCCAATGCAAGCCGTGGAAATCCTGTAACTGAAAAAAAGCTGAAATGTAACTTCACTGGTAAATAAGCCATATATTTATTATTCCCTGAAGGTAAATATCACTGTAGGAGAACCATCAGTGTCCAATCATCTCGGGCATTTTTTCGTGTGTGTGTGTGCAAAGTTCACAAATAACAAAATAGTGTGCCGCTCAGAGGATTTAATGTGTATTATACAAGGCAGTGGATAAATTATTAACATAACATAACTACAGTTTCTAAGTAACAATATCCTTATCTTAATGTCACTTAATGAATTTATTCTTAATGCTTCTGGGTTTTGTTTCTTTGGTTGGTTTATTATATTGGTTGAATCCAATATTCTACTTAATAAACAGCTTCTGAATTCAGGTATTGCATCTCTCATATGAAAGCCAGTTAGTTTTTTTAATATTAAATTCCTCTAATTAAAATTACTCACAAATGAAGGTTGCACAAGAATCTTGTTAAAATACAAAATGTCCTTCTTACTCCTTTAGCACATCATTTCCCCAAATCTGTTTTATTGCAAGTGCTATCACACATCTACATAATAACTATCAAATACATTTTCTGAGCACTGTACCAAATGATCCTCTGTTGAATGAGTTAGCTTTTTCTGGCACAGTTTGAGACTTGTTTTTAAGAGTGAACAACACAGTGTTTTACTGAATTGAGAAACAGTATGTTGGATTAATTTCTGCTTTGAGAATAAATATTTGCAGTATGTTTTTTAGAGGCACAGGCAGATAAGAAATGGTTCCCCAAAATGTAATTTCAAAACCGCTCTATAGCTGCTTGTCTCCAGAAGTTCTGGGGAACCTCATATGGTCAGTGAAAACAGCAGGTGAACCACAGGACACAGATTTTGAAATAATGTATGTTTCAGACGTGTAGCGAGTTTGTCACAGGGAATTACTGCTTATCAAGATCTTTTGATTGTATGCTTGCCTTCAGACCCTTGGGAAGTAGGACTCTTGAATGTTAGGATGTGCAGAAAACAAAGGCAACAGGCCATGACAACTGTAATTCCTCATAGTTTTTCTACCATTTGTCACCTCTATTTTGTCATTACATATGTCAGTTAAACTATATACAGCTAAGGAGGAAAGACTGTGACTTGTATGGTAGTTGTTTATATGCATGACACATTAGAGACCCTTTAATATCATCGCTCCCCAGTTTCCTATGTGTGAAAAATGTATTGCTTAAGAATCAAGGATTTGTATTTTGGGGCATATCTATGAAAATAATTTGTTTTATCTCTAAAGGCCGTAAGGTTTGGGAAATAGTAGTCCAATTGTAGAAAGAAAATTATCGCTATAAGAGACAGCAGTGTTCTCCAGAGCTCTGATTAAATGAGCTGTATTTAGCCTTTTACTTGAGGGGAGGTTTCTTAGAGTTTGATTGAAAAGATGAGACTTCTTTGTATTTACTTCTGTGTGTTAAGAGAAATGTATTTGAACTCTAACAAGCCACACAGGAAAACTGTTTCTGACCCACTGGTTATAGAGAGGGTAAGCATATCTGCCACAGTATCTTATCACCCCATATACACAATATCAAATAATTAGACACAAATTAATTTCTACTGTACCTAAGAGTTCGATAGGACTTTTAAAACGAAGACATTGGCACATTAGTTCACCAAATTTGTGCTTCCGTGGTGGACTTAGTTTCACATCTCCACTAGGTAATCAGCTGTTTATCTTTTTTCTGTTCTTTTTCTGGCCTTTTTTTCCAGGCCCTAGGGACTAAAACTTTCTGAACTGACTGGATTAACAAATTAAAGCTGCTTGCCATGTGGTCAGGTAAGCCCCAGAGCCCTTCCTTGTGCTTCAGAATACTGCAGAGTGAAGAGCAGGACTATCCCTTTCACTAACACCAAGACATTTAATCAGCTTAGCCGTATATAATCTAACCACATCTTTGGTGACCTACAGATCAGTCTTACTAATTAGACGTGAATCATCTTTGTGCCAAAATAGTCTGATTTAGAATATAGCTCATTACATTTGAGTGACAAAATATTTTAGGAATCACAATATTAACACTTCTGCATATCATGCAGCAGATGTATTAAAGTACAAAGGCAGCATGTTTTGGAGAGAGAGGTATTTTGCGTACACAAGAAAAGCAGTTGCCAGTGAGTAAAAAACATCTGCCCTTCTTCTGGACTAGGAAAATAGAGGAAAGAATTTAATAGCAAAAAGTAAAGTAGTTGTGAAGACTTTAGTAATACTACTTACAGTAGGAGTTATGTCCTGTAGTTCCTTTCATTGTTAATTGTCTCACAAAATAATGTCAAGTCCTCTAATATTTTTCCCAGAACTCCTATATTTGGGTTACATTTACTGGGAAGCATCTCTGCCTCATGGTGAAGCTACCTGTGTAGCATCAACAGATCATCTTAAAAATGTTCCACATAGCAGCACTGAGTTTACAGTATGCTTTGAGAATCTGTGTTTTTGTTTTGTTTTTAAATATTATTATCTGGTCTATGCAGTTTCTTCCAAACTACTGTCAGTGTTGCTCTGTCAAAACATGTACAGAAGGTTATGGAAAGAGGAAGAATATGCATTGCCTTGAGGACACAGAACTGTACAAAGTTACCATCATCTGCTTGCTTCCACTGCCCCTCTGAACTGCTCTGTATTACCAGTGACACTTTCAGTAAGAGCAGCAGCTATTGGTTCTTTTTACTGGACGCATCAAGACTTCATTTACTTTTCCACAAATGTTAGCTTCTTAATCTGCTTGAGAAAAGCATTGTTGATTTAATCATGCGAGTTTCAAACTTAGAAATAGAACGTGTATCTTACACCTCACTGATATCAAAGAATGGTGGGGGTTGGAAGGGACCTCAGGAGATCATCCAGTCCAACCCCCCTACCAAAGCAGGTTCCCTACAGCAGGTTGCACAGGAAAGTGTCCAGGTGGGTTTGAACATCTCCAGAGAAGGGGGCTCAACAGCCTCTCTGAGCAGCCTGTTCCAGTGCTCTGGCACCCTCACAGTAAAGAAGGTTTTTCTCATGGTATTGTTTGTTTGTTTGTTTTTTTAATTTTATTTTATTCTCCTCTAGATTGTCCAGAAAGATACTATGATCTTAAAAGGAAAACGTAGGGCCACATCATGAACTTATAACTGAAAGTCTTAGATGTATTTTGTACAACATGATTACAAAGTAATTGTCAAACTTGTACTTTAACTATTATCTCGTTTAGAATCAGAAAACCACTCTTTTATTGTCCATCCAAAGAAACAGGTATGAAGGAAGTTGTCTGAAGTTACAGAATGAGTCAGTGGCACCTAGAAATGGAATTGGTCGTATCTTCTTATTGCTATGTCTCCTGCCTCTACTTTTTTCATCATATGCTCCTTGGACTGTGACAAAACGAACAAAAAGTAAGCACTGCATAGTTTGCATATTAGAGTAAAACATCATTACTGCAGCCCATCACCATGAAAAAACATACAAAATTCTAAAGACAAGAACAATTATTATGAACTCCTGTTTGGAGATCTTGCTTTTCTACAGCTTATAATGTTTAGCACCTGTTCAAGAAATGTCTTCTATAAATAACCATTTTCTGTTTCAGGCAAAATTTACATTGAAAATTATCTTGGTGCAGCTGTTCAGTACTTTACAATCATGGATTGCCAAAAAAAGAACAGTAATTCCCTGGGGACCTCAGAGTTAAATCCTTTTTATTTAACTTGATGCTATGTAGTAGAGCTGTGACTGAAGTCTAGCTAACTGCTAGCTGTTCTTAGATAAAACTGAGAACTCAAAAGCCCTTTGTAGATGATCCTCACTCTTTTACAATTTCTGTGGCTTTCCAGTTCCATAATTACTGACCTCGATGGCACACTGCCCCAAAAATGAATACTTTGATAATTTGCTGCTCTCTTGTAAGCCTTGTCATCTTCGATGCTCCAGTACACCACCGCCTTCATGTGAAAACTACTGTGATAAGAGTAAGTAATATTTCTGCAATACTTTGTGGCTATGCTAGGCATTTTCATGTTGTATTTTACATAGAACCGTAAACATAAAAACTTAAAGAAATCTAAAACCTGGAAAGAGTTTAGAATAATATATGGGCTCAGAAATGCAGTGTATGTATGCAGTGTGCCGTGTATATGTGTTTAGAAGAGTAAATTTTTGAACCTCTTAAGCTTTACTTGGGCTGTCACTCAATAGAAATAGAAATTGCTTCATTAACATAGAAGTTTTATGTGCTGGACATGTTTACTGTTCATTGGTTATTGTTTACAATGAATTTAATACATGTCTTATTTCATAAGGTACTGATTCAAGTGGAGTTCTTTGGATTTGTTTGGGCTTAGGAGTAATTGTAATGCTCACTCTGTTCACCTTAATGGTCTTGTTTAAATGGAAGCACCTAAAGCAACTAAAAGAAAAACTGAAAACCACAGGTGAATAAATAAGATTCTTTTATCAAATAATTTTAGATCATTGTACATTTTAGCTAATCTTACCATGTATACATTTTGCATATACTTTACATTCCAGATTCTGATAACTGTCTGTTGGATTGTTTTATATTCTTCAAATAGTCTCAATGAAGTTATTAAAGTTATTAGGGAATAAAATATCTAGATGATAACTTGTAAAAGCAGCAATCTCTCTTTGTTGGTTCTGGATCCTATCAGGATTGTTTTGGTGCATATTCATACCTGGCTTACTTGCTGGTGTTTCAGAAATCATTTATGAGCCCTTAATAGCAAAAGATCTTCATAAGGCTTTCATCGTCTTCTCATTGAATGCAAAAGGAATTCTACCCAGATACACACTCAATATTAGCTTTCCATCTTATAAGGCATTAAATAATTTTACTTAATATTTATTTATTTACTTGACATTCTAGCCTGTGAGAAGTGTATGTGGTATATTTTGGGAAGGTGAAAAAAATTACGTTATTTTTACATTTTACAAATACTAATATTTGTGGAGTGTTCAGCCAGTAAATAATAACTGATTAGAAAATGTGTGTTAGATTACTTAAATGCTTATCCTGAAGTATAGGGGGTATATTGTCATAGAACAAAAGATTATCAAATATCATTACATCTTAAAACTTTCACTATATCTTAAATCTTTCACTAAGGTTAGGAACATGGAACATAATGAAATTTGGATCTTTAATAACTCTCTATGTCTGGCATAGCATGATGTATGTACTAAATTAACTTATGTATATTTACAGACTCTTCTGTGGAGCTGAATAATATTCTCAAGGATAATACTGAAAGCAGTGTGAATACAGAAGGAATTAGACACTCACTTCAAAGTGAAACATTAATGTATTCAGTGGAAGAATGCACTTGCAGTGACTGTGGCTTGGTAAAACCTCAGACTGGCTGTGAAACCTCATTTCCATTACCAGCTACAGAAGAAGGAGCTACTGTTCTAGTTACCACAAAATCTTTTGATTATTGCAATTATATTCTGGGTGCTGGGTAACTATGAGAGAAGTATTATTTTTACTCCATAATAATAAATGAGTTATTCCAGTATAGCTATTAATCTTAATACTTGCAGTCAGTGGAGAAGGCTAGTATGTCACCCTTACAGATCTTCCACTGAGCTTTCATTAATATTGTCGTATTATTTCTAATTCTAGTATCTCTTTGGTTAAGTATTTCTACATTATTCTCAGATACTAAACTAGTTATTGGAACTTTTAATTTCTGAAAGTCCCTATGTAGGATGGCTTTTTCTGTCTTTAGATATTGTATCTACTTATGCCGGATATATACAAACCCATCAATAAACAAGTTTGCAAATATATATTTTATTTTAAACTCGGATCTTGTGCCAAAAAATGCTTGGTGGTAGACAAGGAATGTTCCAAGAGGCAGAAATGAAGACCGATATTACATCCCCAGTGTTGTAAAGAATAATTTCAAATAGCCCCTATGATACTTGAAATAGGAATGTTTTAATGATGAATACCTTTGTAGAGTATGGAGTCCCTCCTAGTTCAGATAGTATCTCTGCGTCACACCAAGGGAGGTGTGATGCTGTGGAGCACCATACCTGCAATCCCAATGTATTTCCTGATGGTGCAGGCTTTTTTTTAAGTGCCAAGCATTTTTCAGACTGTATTCTACAAAGATTTTTATTTCATTATTATTTTTTGCTTGCCCTTGTTATGTGTACAAGGACTGCTGATTAAATATATTAATATGAAATATGCTAGGCTACTACTGGCCTAAAATTAGGAACATAGTTCTGTCCCTTTGCCTCCCAAGCATTAATGTTCTTTTCCTAATATTAGGCCAGTTTTATTCCTGGAAAACTGCAACAACAACGATAGAAGCAACAACATTTTTTTTTTATTTGCAGATAACTTTCTATTTCAGGTTCTTGCATGAATTATGAATTCATTAAGACTAGTAAATTATTGCAGAAAATCTATGAATAGTCAATATTGCAGCATCTTTAGGAGGCTGCCCACAAAGTCTGGGCTGGTGATGAGTTAGCTGTGTACGTCAGGCCACACAAAAACTCTGGAATAGGCCTACAGAGCTATTTATTAAATGTGTTATTGTTCCTGTATCTAGAAACTCTTAAGGGTGATGCTTTGTTGCTCCACACAGCGTGGAGCAGTACAGGGCAGACACACAGCACTGCATTTAGACAGTCTGCAAACACAACCCAGCAAGATGGTGCCTTAAAACGGGTCTGCAACATTTTAAAAAATTACTTTATTACCTTTTTTTTTAATTATTATTTTATTAGAGGTTTCACAAT